CACACAGACAACCCCTCGTCAATATGCGTTTTTTGCATTGCATTACTGCAAAAAACGCATAATAAGGGTAGCAATATACCTATCAACAAATTTACGGACGCATTGATTTAATTTGCGTGCGTCGTAGCCCCTTTCTAAGTAGCCGGAAACTAATCGTCTGGTCCACCAAATAAAAACAAATGTGTGTCTGATGCAGCGAAGCTGTGATGAGACCGATTATATTTATTGTACGTACGAAGAGGAGGTTATCAGATCGTAACTGAGTGGCAACAATATGACGTTGAGAATATGAACGAGCTTTTTCTTGTGGGTACTGTTTTATAATGAAGGAGTCTATGTCTTAGTGTAATGACGCTAGCTGTGGAAAAAAGCGAACCAAAACTTATAAAACTGGAAAAAACTGTTGCTGCTTATACTAGTTACCACATGCTCCCCTTTCAAACTTGGTCCCTCATTACCAACAGAATCGCTGTTCAAATAATGGAGTCAGTACGCCGGCTCTAATTGATTCGATCCAAATGAATTAATACGTCGGCCCCCTTGAATAGCGCACCTCAAAATTGGGTTATTAAAACTTTATTTAAAATGGTTAACAAAACGGTGTTAATGAAAATGATAGCTAGCAATAAAGCGAACTAAGTATGAAGAGCACACGCCTTCGAGCAAAACATAGCCGGTATCAAAGCAGAGCCAAAGTAAAAAAAATTAAGAAAGTGAAGCGACACGTGAGAAGACTGCTGCCGAGGGGAAAACCCATCACTAGAAAATAACATCGTACTTTGCGCGGATTCCTGTCTGCTGGCTTCACTTCCGCACGACATCTTTCGTAAGACTGAAAGCGATGGGATGCAAGACTTCATCGCTTTTGAGAAATATAACGAGCAAAAAAACAACAATGTAATCATGAGCTACTGAGTGTTGTGCGCTCACCAGTGAGCATCATATGTAGCTCCAACATAAGAGCGATCTTCCGACAATACTGATCTGTTGTAAACCGACCCTAAAAGAAACTGACGAAATTTCCTGTAGACCAAAAGCAACATCTTGAGACCTCCGGTGTCGACACCAGTGATGTGATGAACGAACAACAGTCAACAGTCCCAAAGCTCGTATGGGCTATGACTTGGGACAACAGAGAAGTTTAAAATTGACTGACGAGGAGAGGGCTAGACGCAGTAATAAATGATGTGATGAAGGTCGAGTAAGACGAATTGTAGAATTGTGTGTGTGTGTGTGTGAAGCCAAGCCAATATGTAGAGAATAAGCCGTCGACAACGTGCAGAAAACCCGCCCGCGTCAATATGTAAAGAACAATTCATGCGTAAAAAATAACCCCAACCCCAATGTGAAGAAAATAACCCATCAGCCAATGTGTAGGAAACCCACTAATGTGTAGAAAATAACTAGCCCAGAGTGACGTTGAGGTGCACTTTTATAGGGATGTCGAAACAGAGCAGGTCTAAAGATTGGAATGTAGGGTCCTGGTAAATGAGAATAGGTTTTTGATCTGATTTTACAGCTAAAACTGTCAACAGATTTGGGAAAGGGGATAATTTACGGGCTTTTTAGATGGTTAATTACAGCCTTTTTCCTTACTTTTC